AACAAAATGAAATCTCTGTTTCAATTTGTACATTTTAATAAAATGGAGCAGTATTAGCATCAGTAAGTTATTTTATCATGGTGTGTGTGTATGTGTATGGGAACGCGAACACATGCACACGCACATGTAAGTGCTTTGCCACTGAGCTGCATCATCAGCCTCTGATATTAGGGGCTGGAGAGCTGCCTTAGCACTTGAGAGCACTGTCTGCTCTTCCAGAGGACTGAGTTCAATCCCCGGCAACCACATGTGGCTCACAACCACTACACTGGAATCTGATGATCTCTTCCGGCATGCAGGTATGCGTGCAGCTAGAGCACTCATATACATGAAATAAATAAATAAATAAATCCTAAAGCTATTAGAGATTCACTAACTATTTTAAAATAAATACAAGCACGTATGTTTAATACAAAATGACTTTTTTGGACTAAGACTTATACCTCCATAATTTAAAGAAGTGTATCCATATACATTATAAATGTCAATACAGTGAGATAAATATATAATTTCAGACTTGCCTTTTTTCCCATTATTGGGTAAGCTTGATGTTTCTTCCCCGTTGTCTTTAACATTGAAACCAGACAACAATAATTAATAATTAAGGTCATTAGCAATCCAAATAAAAAGCACTCCAACTAGAATAAAACCATGCACTGCAGAAATAAATACATGCATACAACATGACATCCCCCACTGCAAACATTAGAATAACCGACATGCAGTATGCTTCCCTATCCTACTGGAAAAGGAGTCAAAGCAACCATTAGAAAAAGGCATTTTTTTTAAACTACAGTTACGTGCTTGGTAGTTTTGTTTTGTTTTGCTATGGTTCTACACAGTGTGATTCAATAATTATGTAAGAATGAGCCAGAGGTGACAATCGGTTTTAAAAATGTAATTATTCTTTATGTTAAAAGGGTAAAACAAATACTATAATGGAGAAGTCTTCAAGTTAGTGCTATTCTTTAAAATTACTATGAGAGCCAATTCATGAAGAGTGAAAGACCCAGGACATGAGTAAATCAGTATGAGATATAAAAAGACAGGAGAACAGAAACATTAGCTCCTCAGCTAAATGAAAATAAAAATTATTCTATAGCAGCCCACAAAATTTTAACTCTATAGCAGCCAGAAAATTGAAGGGCATTTGAAATTCTGGTATTGATAATATTTGATATTCAGAATGCAATAGAATTATACATTTTTATATCGAAGCAATTAAGATTGTCTTTCTTTCCATCATGAGATATATACTGATAATTTGTGCACTTGAAAAATTAGGATGTTAACTGGTTATTAGCACCAAAGCATAATGTTGTTTTGTTTTAAAAATGAGAAATTATGTTCAGAGAATGTATCCATGAAAATATTCCTTGGATACAATATACATAAGAGCATTAATTTCTTAAAATGACAAAAAGAGGGGAAAAGGGACAGAAAGTCTAACTTTAAAACTCATAAATAACTTCATATGTTAGAAGAAAAGATCAGCTAAGCACTTAACAAAAACAGGTCTAAAGTTATTCTGCAGTTTCCACAGAAAGTTAAAATTCAAAACAACTTAGAAAAAGATTAGGGGCCAATTCTGAGGTTCAAATAAATATAGTGACAATTCAATAAAATTGCACAAACGTATTTGACATTTACTTTGACAGACACTGATAAAAATATCCAATTTTCCTGTGATTATAAAACTGAAGAAATGAAACCCTGCACGCCCTCCAGAAAGTAGATGCCACAGAGAAGAATGGCTATTACACAGGATACAGCAATACTGAGCTTGGACAGAAAAGAGAAACCCATGGAAAATTAGTTCATAGTTTAAAAATAATCATAGTATATTAAATGCTTTCAAAAGATCAGTTCATGCATGTAGATAACCTAGAAACCCCGGAACAGATGTAGCTCATGGCAGCTCAAGTCTCCAAGTGGGTTTCCCTAGTAAGGGGAACAGGGCCTATCTCTGACATGAACCCAGTGGCAGGCTCTCTGATCACCTCCCCCTGAGCAGGGAGCAGCCTTACCAGGCCACAGAGGAAGACAATGCAGCCAGTCCTAATGAGACCTGATAAGCTAGATAGGGGAGGAGGAGCTCCCCTATCAGTGGACTTGGGAGAAGGGCATGGGAGGAGAAGAGAGAGAAAAGGTGGGTTTGGGAGGGAATGAGGGAGGGGGTTACAGCTGGGATACAAAGTGAATAAATTGTAATAAATAAAAATTAAATGAATAAATTTTAAAAATCAGTATTTTCTGTCCTATATGTCCTTAAAATTTGCCTCTCCTATTAAAACCCTTAGGCAAGAAGCTAGAGTTCTCTTACTCTGAGAGGCATAAGAGAAATAGTTTTCTAGTAGCTAGCTGATGATTTATTAAAAGGTAAAGAAACTACTTGAATGTAAAGAAAGAACTAGGTAAAACATGCATATACTTAGGCTAAAGACATTGTCTATAATTTTAATATGTTTTGATAGTTAAAGAAAAATTTAAACAAATAAGTTAAATATTCTGTAGTTGACTACATACTTTTATAATATTTCTTATGACATTATAAATTTTAAGACTTCAGTTTATTTAGAAAACAGACAGACCTGCCTTGACCTCTTCTCCCTCCTTTTCCACCCCCTGTTCTTCCATATTTCCAATTTCTTCATTAACTTCTGTATTTGCAGAAGTAAAAGAAAAAGATAAGTCCATGTGTCTGGTTGTTAATTGTAAAAGATAACAAACAAACAAATCATTCTTAATGGAACAATGGGTGTGCATAAGGAGAAAAGTTTACATAGTTCATCTCTGACATGCACTTGAAGGCAAATAATGTTTGCTGTTAATGAGTCATCACAGTGTCAGTGGTACTGACTTGGGAAACAGAAACTGACCCACAGAAGATTGAGATATGGAGGTAGCTAAACAAGGAGGCACAATAATGTGGTAGGTACATTATTAGGAAGTCATTACATAATTCCTTTCTTGGAAGAAAAACATGACATTATAAACCACAATTTTTACAAAATGGCAATACATCAAAGGTAGTAGTTAAGAAAATAATGAAACCAATAATAACAGTAATGCCTTACAGTTGTTTAATACATCGTGCTTTCTATAGCATTCTCAATTTGCAGGGGTTTTTTTTGGCAAGGAAAGTATGAAAAAAATCAACTTCAATATCAAAATAGGTAATATTATAAATTAACATAGTTACTAGATAACATAATTACTCAAAACCATAAATTTAAATTATAATTTCCTCATGTTTTAACTACTAAAGGTAAGATACATCATTATATTTACACAAGAATTGCCAAGATTAAATGACAAGGTCTGACAACCATTTAGAAATCAAATATTGAAACTATCAACTGATAGTCCACTTTGGGTGACTGCACCTTTAAATGTGGTAAGAGGTTGAGATCTACGGAAGAGTTATATACACTGTCCTTTAGAGTGAGAGACTTACAGGTTCATGAATCTCTGAAGCTTCAATATTAACATGTCTAAAAATGCTGCTAAAATCAACCAGTTCTGTTAAGTAATATAAAATAAAACATCTTCTACAATGAAGAGAAGAAGGGGGTTTGGGTTCCTTTATAAAAAAAGTCTTCATGGAAATTGCTAAATTTAAGTGATTTTAATGCATTCTACGCATTCTATGAAATAAGATAGAGTACCCATACACATCTCTGATCTTTAAACCCAAGTTTCCCTTCGGCAGTCAGGTTTGCTCTCTTCATGTCCAGCTCTGCTCAGCGTGAAGCTGGCCACACCTCCACAGACTTTTGCTAGAAAAGCTATGAAAATGAAAACTTTTCATTTTTTTTTTTGAGGAGACAAAGCCTGCACATTATTGAACTCTTATTATGAAAAACAATCTAAAGGCACAAGCGTTTAGTCTTAGGGAAATAATTTGGTGAGACAGCAGCGCCTCAGGTGTCTTTTCAGTTACAGAGTAAAGGACAGCCAGCTTCAGCCCACAGCACTGTGTTGTAGTGAGACGCAGAGGCAGTCACGGGGATGGCAACCCTTCAGCACAGCGAGAGCATGACTTGTACCAACAGGGTGCGGAAGACTGCAAAAGATTTGCTGCTCAACTGCAATACATGCATACATTTGTTGCAAATGTCACAGGATTACAAGTCTTCTATAAACATATAAAGAATGACAAGTTTCTAGTGGTATTCTCTATACTATTTGAGGTATCATTTCAATTCTTAAGGCAGTGTTTTTTCAACTCAATAAATATTTGTTCCAGTTCTACAATGCACTTGGCATTATTCCATATGCTGGAGACTCAGCAGTAAACAACATGAACAACAATTTCAAAATTCTAAAACTAGCAGATTTTTATTGTACAAGCAGACATATGACAGTCCACATACTAAAACTCAGTACCTTGTCTGAAGGCAAAATTCAGTGTTTAATAGTAAAGGCATAAAATTGTCATATTTATACTTGATATATTCTAAGCAGACTTGCTACAATGTGCAATGGAAACAGAAAACACAAGCCAAAATTACTGTCTAACTGAACACTTTCTTTTGTGGAAAGTCAAATTTCAGAATAAAAGAATCATTAAATAAACATAAAATGAAATATAAGATGAGAAATATAACCAGATTATGTATCTATCCTCAATGGCAGAAACACAAACTGCAATTGATATCACTGGCTATCATCTCACTCAAACTCCAGAATTTAGTTTTAAAAATGTAAGAATAAACATAAGGATATAAGAATATAAATATAAAAGTGTAAGAATATTATATAGGTATTTAAAAAGAGTTAAGCTCTTTACACTTAACTCAAAATTTAAATCTCTGGTGGTATTTCATGGAAAATAAAATTTGAATACTTTATTACAAACTAGAAAACAGAATACTTTAACTCTACATAAAACCAAATAAATGAAGGGACATCAATTGCAGTTGGGTTTATTTTTGACTGCACAGCCCCCAACCCCCAAAGGCTTTCAGCACCCAACAAACCCTCCTCTACGTACACACCTTCATAAGGTTCTATCTCCTTGACTCCATTGTCTAGGAAGAACAAAATAAAACAAAACAAAGGGGGAGGGCCAAAGCACAGGGGTTAAAACAACAGAAAAACTCAAAGTAAGAGAATATACTGTCTATTAAAGAAAATTTAAAATGATTTGGAGATATAATATATATATGTAATATATATAGTGTATATAGTATATATACACTATATAATGTATATAGTATATATACACTATATAATGTGTATATATATATATATATATATATATATATATATATATATATATATTTATACATAC